AGCAAATCAGTTCTTTAAGCCTGAGTTTATCACACACTGCTCCCAATTAGTTTCCCTGATGATGGATGTCTCCTTCAGAAGCGTTTCAAACAGCGCCTGTTTATTCAGAACTAAGAGGAGGCAGACATGGCACTGAGGGAGAGGGGAATGGTCGTTTAGGAGCCCAGAACCGTGGAGGTTCTAGACCAAAAGAAGTTGCACACTGGTAACATATGGGAAAATCTGCCATCCAGAGAAGGTTTGACTTATGAAATGAATACAAAGAAAAATAAGACAGGTGAGCTAACGTTAAATATTAAGGGATTATACTTAAGATCCAAATCTGGCTTCTTTCATAAAAGTATTGGTCTCTATTCTTACATGAGTCGCTGCTCTTAGCCAACTGCAAGCTATCTTCTTTAGGTAAAATATTTGCCCCCTAGTCTTTCAGTTAGGATAATCATATAATTTATTTTCAAAACCAGGGTACATTGAAAATGATATGGGATAGTATTGGCAATGTTTTTTTTTTTTTTTTAAAACAGAGTCTCACTTTGTCACCCTCAGTAGAGTGTCATGGCATCATAGCTTACAGCAACCTCAAACTCTTGGGCTCAAGTGATCCTCTTGCCTCAGCCTCCCCAGTAGCTGGGCCTGCCATAATGCCCAGCTATTTTTAGAGACGGGTCCCACTCTGGCTCAGGCAGGTCTCGAACCTGGGAGCTCAGGCAATCCACCTGCCTCGGCCTCCCAGAGTGTTAGGATTATATGTGTGAGCCACAGAGCCTGGCCAGTATTGGTAATTATGTTAGAACAACAGGCATAAGTCAGACCTGGGATAAAATGTACCATAACCTGAGTCCCTTTCATTCCCTGCTGCTTCCCACATTCAGTCACTCTGGTATATAATTTGTCTTGCGCTGATAGGGATTGTGGAACTCTCTTTAAAAGCATCTGGTTTTTTGAGTGAGTCTGAGAATCAATTAATTTCTTGAATTCAGCATGCTCAGAAGTGAATTCTCAATCCGTAAAAAATACCTCTAATAAAGTCTCATTAGTATGTCTAATATGATATACCATGTTCAAATAATTATATTTTTCTCTACAGCTTTGAGTTCTAAATAGTCCATAATTAAAAATATATTAATTTTTTTCACAGGCTTGGACATAAGCAATGCAGTGAAAATTAAAAACGATGCCTTTTCAAATTGTTAAGATATCAATAATTTCTGTAAGTCAACCAGGTTCGTGAATTTTGTTTAAAGAACACGTTTGCTATGCATCAGGAAGCATCTTTTGCAAGGAGCAAAAAGCGATTGGTGACCAGAGAAAAATGACACGTATGTTAAGACAGAGTTGGAGACAAGAAAACTTAAGAGAGAAACAATGTGAGCGCATTTGAAATGGACAGCCGGCTTTGCAATCTGTCGTATTGGAGTTTTAGGGACTTACCACAGACAGTGTTTGTTATTGTACAATGTTTTGTTTTCTAGGAGGAAGGAAGATTAACCAAAAGAAATACAACATTAAAAAAGTACACAGATGATACAGCAAAATAAAGCCCAAGACTATAAACCGCAAATGGCCCAATCTATCTGCTTGGGAATTAGTGGAGAGGCACACCATTCAGTGCTTTCGTCCTAAGGGTGTTTATTGAAAGAGAAGGTTGTGTAATAACGTTTGCACTGGATTTTTGGCAAAGTTCCCACTAGACACCGCTCCTCCCTCCCGCAACCCTCAGTCCTAACTCCTGTGGCATCTTGGCCTTCTTTAATTTCCTTTTGGCACATCTGACTTTTTCCTTAAATCAGTGGATTGCCTGTGGAATGTGTGTCAAGAAGCAGGCCTTGTTTACTCATTGGGAAACTGACCCCTCGGGACGGGTTGAGCATACCTGATGGGAAGAAAGGAGGAAGGGCCGTGCTCACTCACCGACCACACAGGTGGGCAGGGACCGGTTTGCTTCAAGTATCACAATGGAAACGTAGCAAGTTGATTGTCTCCCTGGGCCAATAACTGTGTGTGTGTGGGTGTGTGTGTGTGCACACACTGCCTTATTGATCCTGCAGCTAAAAATCCTCTCTAAGTTCCAGAAATTCCTTCTCCATGTTCAGAGATGTATGAAATTCTTCTCTCTCCCTAGCGTGCATAGTCTCTAAGGTTGTTTTAATTTTTTTTTCCTTTGTTTTAACCACAATTGCGATGGTTAAATTATGGCGTAACTAATGTTTTGTATGACTTTCAACCTAGTTTCTTAACTCCGTAATTACTGCCATTACTATTTATTCTTCTTGGCATAGCAACCCTATGAAAGAAGGATAGAATATGAAACTTTTAACATGGTCCTATTTCACGCAAATGATAATAATGATAATATTTTTTGAAAGAAGAAGTCAGTAGACATGTTTCCTTCAGATCTGTATGTTATGGCTTTGAATATCAGTATGGTGAAAGCCTGGAAGAGTTCATCAGTTGACGGTCGTATGTGTGTATAGTGGCCATCCTCACGCTGTATTTCCTATTGGCTTTCCATAAACATAACAACAATAACACCAACAATAGCAGAAACAAATATACCAAATACAAATACTTAGTGACATGCAAAATTATAACTAGAAAATTTATAGTTTCATCTTGAACATTCTCCTTATTGCCCCCTATTACACTCTGTTATTGTATAGTCATTATAATAGTTGATATTATTGTAGATTCACTTGGAATCTCATAGTTGATCAAGCATTGTACGTGTATTTTCACATTTAAAATAGTGACCCATACATAGGTCACTATTAAAGTTTTGAGATAAAACTGTGTTATGTATGGTACACTATTTCACTTCCAAGAAACTCAATTGGCAGTGTCCTTTCTGACTCACTCATACAAGTTCCAATTTTTTCAGCTTATCTGTGTTGCTGGGAGGGCTTCCTTTGTTTCCATCTGTGTGGATTTTATATTTCTTGATTTTTGTGTATCTCAAAACTTTTTTAATGACTCATGTACAATAACCCTTAAAAGTAGTACTAATCGTATCTTTATTTTTACAGATTTTACATTGAGTTTTATAGCAATAAGCAATCTACTTGAGGTCATAGAGCTTATTAGTAGCAGAGTAAAGATTGCAATGCTCACATCATTCTGACATTGAAGTTCAGGTTTTCTGTTCACCACTATATTCTTTCTACTTAGGCTCTTTCACAAGACAGAATCACTTAAGTTATCTGGTCTATATTTAAGTTCAACTAAATATAACTACACTGGAGTGCTTATATAGTTCCAGACATAAAATCAAGATATTTGTCTTGACCGTGGTATCTTTGACTCTTGAGTCTTCGATTTCCTCTATGTAAGTAGAGATAACAACACCTACCTCATAAGGATATTGAGCATGTTAACAAAAAATAGTTATTATCACTATTATCATTAGTCAAAAATAAGGAAATTCCTGGCATAAAGTGGGCTATCAATAAATACTGAATGGATGAGTAAATGAATGAAGGCATGAGAGAGATAGTGTCTGGTCTATAAGATGTTAATAGTTCAACAGTCAGAGCAACAGGCCTGGGAGCAGAAACACCTAGTGATAGGAGTTTTATGGTAATGACACATATAGCATCTACTGGTGCAGAAAAGAGCAAATAATTAACCTTGGGAAGAAGTTACAAGGTAGAATATTCAGGAAGGCTTCACGAAAACAGGAAAAGGAAAAACAAAGTAAAGAAGGAAAAGTTAAGGTGGTTTAGAGATTAGAGCAGAAGAGACCAGAAATAGGAAAACCAATTAGGAGATTGTCTGGAGGACAAAAGACAGTGAAAATTTGAGCTTTTCAGACAGTGAATGAAAAGAATGAATCCCAGAAACAGAAGTTGGCAAGGCTTTGTGATGGATTCAATGCTGGAGGTGGGGGAGAAAGAGACAGAAATAGGTTTCTGGCTTTTTCATATAATTGGGTAATGATGATGTCACTGAGTTGAGAAATGCATCACATCCCACAGTGTAATTCCAGGCAGGTTATCACCTTCTTAATGAAAGAACTCTGGTAATATTGAATTTAAGAAAAAGAAGACTATACAGTTTTGGTTGAAATATGCTATTTTTAGTGATGCTTTAAGTTTAATTAAAAGATATCGTAAAGTTGCACAAGACCCTTTCTGGATCATGGTAACAAGATCAGTCAATTTCAGTAAAAGGCCAATTTAGGACTCTCACAGCCCTCTAGAACTCTCCATCTTCAAAAGCACACTTTGATTACTTCCTGAGTGTAATAGTCACCATCCAAACCCAGAAAACTGCCTATTTTTCTCCCAAATTGCATGTAAAGAGTTATAATCATTTTTGACTTGCTTAACGGGGGTGAGGGAAGAGTTAAATCTACTTACCATTTCATACTAATTTGGTATTTTAGTTACAGTCAACATATTGCTATTTTGTACTTGAGCAAAGCTATTTAATCTGCAATCATTTTTTGTATTTTCTATACATCTTTTCAAATGTTTAGAATTGGCTTCTCAGTTTAATTTCAGCATTTAAAAGTTTCTCATGGTGCTGGTTTTTAAAATAGCCTGCAGGTCTTTGTCTCTTTATTAATAAAATAACATTCTCTCTCGCTTACTCTCTGGAAGAACTCACCATCCAATCCAGAACTGGGGTAAATGGTAGATACCCCTTGCATTTTGTGAAATTTTTGATGACTGAATAACCTCCATGGTTGAGCACCTCCCTACATTGTCCACCTCCTTAAGTCGACTAATGTTCATAGACCATAAGTGCACTATGTGTACTCAATGGAGGTCTCTAAGGTTGACTGCCTCTGGATGTTGACCAGTTTGTTATGGTCCCATGGGTGGTCAATTAACAGAGGTTCTACTGTAAAAGTAAGTGATTGGAAAAGATGAATTTCTTTTTTCTTATCAAGTCTAACCAAGCACTTAGCACTCATTCTCATATGAAATGAAAATCCCTGAGACCCGAGAATTAACCATCTGCTAAATCAGTGAAGTATCTAGCTCTAATATCACATTTTTCCATGTGACCACAGCATGAAGTGGGGCTGGGCACAGTCCAGAAGCCAAGTGGGGCTAAACAAGGGGCTGGTTTATCCTGCACTCATGTGAGATGGGTCCCACCAACTAGACGCCACTCAACTCAGGTGAAGGACAGGATTTTTGTTGCTATTAAAAAAAAAACATCCCATACTCTTCTTAGCAAATTATCTTAGAAATGGGAAAAAAAGTATCCAATGTACTCAGCTCTACTATGAAACTAATTTATAGCTTGTATATGAAAGCTATAACCCAATTATAGCCCAAGAATATGGGGAAAGGGGTGAGACAGGGGAGGGGAGGCGGGAGGATGAGTGGAGGGAGAGCAATTGGTGGGACCACACCTACTACCTATGGTGCATCTTCCAAGGGTACATGTGAAACTCACTAAATGTAGAATATAAATGTCTTAACACAATAACTAAGAAAATGCCATGAAGGCTATGTGAACCATATTGATGAAAATATTTCAAATTGTATATAAAACCAGCACATTGTACCCCATGACTGTATTAAGGTACACAGCTATGATTTAATTAAAAAAATCTATCTTATGTATTGTGTTTAATTCCTAAGGTATAATGATGCATGCAAATGGATTATTTTTATCATTCTGAGACTAACTCAAGCCATAAAAAGCACAAAGTAGTATTTCATGAAGCAACGAGATGCCCGGTATTTTAAAAGAAAACATGGACCCTCTGAGGAAAATAAAGCAGAAATATTCCCATGTTAACAAAACATTTAGCAAACACAAAAAATAATTTGAAGAACACTTTCAACTGAGGAATTTTGGGCAGCAGATTAATAGTACAGCTTGTTGAATCTTTGCCTGACATGCATTGTTTATACAAAGTGTTGCCAGTAGACTCACATCTTAATTCACCCAATACCAAAGGCAGCACAGATTGTTTATGTAACCTAAGATTGCACTCTTTAAGTGACTGCTTTTCCTGAATTAGCATTTAAGAAGCAAAGCACTTAACTATTCACAGTAAATAAGTAAACAGACATTTTAAACTTTGCTTTGATATGGAAGCTATTTAACTTAGAGAATCAAATCGCCTTCAGATTCACATATAAGAAATAGATACCCTGGACTCCCTGCTGCATTCTGCATTAACACACAAGAATAGGCTTCTGATTAGACTTCACCTACTTTGAATATTTTAGAGTGCCCATTCATTTTTATCTGTCAAAATCTCAATTTATTCCTTAGGCTACAAGATATTGCATTGGAGATTTAAACTGGATTTATTTTTCCTTTTATCTTTTTGTGACCAGAAAGTCTCATGCTGTCCTTAGCAGGGTAAGACACCTTAAATCTTCCCCCTTGTGACTGTGTTGACCTGTGCGTGATCTGTGTATGTATTTATGCTTCCCCACACACAGGGTGGAGGAAGAAATTATAGGGGTGAGGCCATCAGAATCACCATTCCAGATGTGGGCAAGTTACCCCACAGCTGTGTTTGTGAAAAACTGTGTGTAATGACACCCTTTATGTTTCCAGGGTAGAAATATAGCAGCTACCTGAGACCTTGTGGTGAGACACCTCAGTGAAAGAAAGAGTATGATAATTTTAGTTTTGAAATGGACACTGAATTAATTGTAACAATCTTGAGTCAAGTTATAATTTCAGGGGATTGGCCTAAAAGAATGATCAGTTAGAAACTCCAGCTGAGGAATCACAAAGGGCCCTAGGCTGAGATTGGTTTGGGAGAAAAAAAATCTATGCTATCGTGCAGGTCGCCAGATCCACAGCACATTGGCCTCATCTCTGAGATTGTAAAGCAGGTTCAACCCAAGGCAGTCCTAGTCTAGGGTGACCAGATTTTAACATTTGTAAAGTGGGACAACATGGTGGGGGGTGGCGGTGGGGCAGGGGACGGGGCAGGGCAGGGCCTGACAACAATGCAAACTTTTATAAGCAGTTCTTGATAATCACTTCTCAACAATTATTTGTTATTATTACAGTTTAACATTATAAAATTAACAAAAATAATATAAAACTCGTATTCTGGAGAAATAGCCACATGGCAGCCAATAAGCATATATTCCCTTCCTGTTTTCCTGCCATTCGTGCATTCTTTCCAAAAATCGGGACTTTTCTAAAACACCCCGGGATGCAGGACAAATTGTTCAAAAGCAGGACTGGCGGGACATCTGGTCACCCTATTCTAGTCCTGGGAAGGGAAGGACTGAATTACCGCCTTCCAGGTTCCTGTTTGGACCATGGAGAGTTAAACAAATGAATTTCCTAATCCAGCAGGCGAGAATTTTGGCTGGTTGTGGATATCTTGTATTAATGAGACATAATTTCAGATCAGTAGGCAGGTGAGGATTTTGGCTGGTTGTGGACATCTTTTATTAACCAAACATAATAATTTCAGATCAGTAAAGCAGTTCATAGCCGTTTGTTTCTGTGACTTCACCATTTTGCATTCTTTTTACAACCTATACCAGCATTAAAGCACTAGGCCCTGGAATTGGAATGAATTGCATTTTTCAGTGTGGTCATGAACTGTTTGGTGGCCTCCTCAGTGACCTTAATCAGAGGAGATTTGGGAAATACAGTGAACAGCAGAGGGAATGAGCTCATCGGAACATCATGGATCAAGACGCCCTGAACAGCAGAGGAGTCAGATGGGAAGACCCGATAAATGCAGGCAAATCGGATGATTCCAAACTGCACATTTCTGTTTTATGTTTGGAAACTACCTTAAAAAAAGGGGGCATGAAAGCAATTTTCATATTTTATATTAACCTTTAGAAGAAAAAAAAGAACAAAAGAATTGAACTTTTTGTGGGGAAAGAACAGGGGCACATCATGTCAAATATCACCAGTGTCCCTGCTCCTAGGGCATAAGAACACCCTCAAGGGCCTGACGATTCCTCAATCATCATCAGTGATGCGGGTGCCTTGTGGGGCAAGTGCTTGGTGAGCGGAAGCAGAGTAAGCAGCGGACACTGAGGGCATTTTCGTGGATACGAATTTCCGTTTCATTTGAAGATGGCTTGTTCCTTAGATAATCCAGACTCTCAAACTGTCTCTGGAGTGGCAAACAGCCGAGGAAAATAGAGACAGCTAACAAAGCTTGTATGATCGTGCTGTGGAAGTGAGTCAAAGCACTCTGAGAGACAAGGCCACAACTACTGCAGCAGGAACTTTCAAGGAGCAAGCACTGTATTTGGGAGCAAAGAACCCGGACAGACTATGCTAGTTCAACTTTTGACTAGAATAGACTAAAATCCAAATCCATAGGAACCCTTTCGTCTAGCAAGACTACCACTGAAAATTCCTCCCCCAAAAGTCAAGGCAGTATTATGTGAGAAGGGATATGAAGGTGGGAAGAGATGAGGATGGAGATTTAGGTATTTTTAATCAATAGCCATAAATACAGAGATAGTAATGCTACTACAGCATTATTTGAAGTAGAAAAAAAAAAAAAAACCCTAGAAAATTGAGAACTTTTTTTAGTAGGGAAATTGTTGAATGTATCTTGGTACATCTATACGGCATAATAGTATGTCACATTAAAAGAATGAGTTACACTTATATGCATCGTTTTAGAGTTACTGATAGGTTCTCAAAAGCGCCCCCATTTTAAGGTAATGTGCATAATAGGATCCCTTTACCTTAAATCAAAGTCAAACTTTCTCTGTGTTGTGCATGTGCACACTGGCCTGAGAGTGGAGAAGATACCAAAGGATACAGTGGGCTCTTACTATTATTTACCTCAGTGAAGTAGGGTGGGAAGAAAGGGGGAGGTGGGATCTGCAGGGCAAATCACTTATAATGATGAGATCTGTTTAGAGATACCTGGTTATCAGAGTTTAAAAATTCAATTTCTTTAAAATGAAAAACAAAACAGAAACAACACAAAACAACAAGTGGCACCGAGGGATTGGCCTCCTTCAGGTGCAAACTTTTTACTTTGTGAAGGGAGACACATTTTAAAAATGCTGTCTATATTCTCAGTATTGTTTTATAAAAGAAATTTGATACAAAGAGGAAGGAAGGACATAAGCTAAACCTGTTCTTTGTATAAAAGGACAGTGAGAGATACACAATTGTAGGCAATATTGCTCTTATTTTCTTCATTTCAGTACAACCTAGTGAAAACCCGATCAAGGACCAAGTGCATGATCCACGTAGTTAGTGGGAAGCGCTCTCCTCAATGTCAGGAATTCCAGATTCCTGCCACTCACTTCCTCAGCTTCAGCAACTTCTCCCCTCTGGTTTGTCTCAACAGGAAGGCAAGTGGGTTTACTGGGTAGTATCTGTAGCCCCTTTGCCTCATGACATCTTATTGTTTATGGGACTCACTTCTTACTATCTACAGTTCTTCTATTCTTTGTTTACATTCATTTATGTAGCAAATACTTCGGAGCACCTGTGTGTGTGTGTGTGAAGCATAGTGATAGCCCCAAGGAATATCAGCATGAACAGGGTGGGTGAGGTCCTACCTGTCTCTTTCTTTGGGAGAGATAATACGGAGAAGTAAATGAGTAAGTGGAGAAAGAATTACAGATTATAGGAAATACTAGCATAAAATAAATAAATACGCTGATGTGGAAGGTGAGTGTGGAGGGTTCGGGAGAGGAAACCTGAGTTGATTTTTCATGCAAAGCCTTTCTGAGGATTTGAGTTGAAACCTAAGAATGCGCAGACGTCAGCCATGCGGGGCTCCGTGTGAAGAGCATGCCAGATGGCAGTCGCAGGGAGTACAGGTTCAGGAATTAGTGAAGCACGTGATCGCTTCAGAAACAGAAAGTGGGGAAAGGAGGCTGAAGGGTAAAGAGCAAAGGGGGTGTGTGTGAAGGAATAGGCAGTACAAACAGAGGACCAGAAAGCAGACGTCCAGGAGTCTGGAGGACATGGGAGCTTCTGAACTTTCATACGTGAGCAATGAGAAGCTTTTAAGCAAGGCAGTGATGTGATTTGATTTGTAGTTTTAAATGACCACTGGCTGCTGGGTCTATTGATGGTCATGAGGCAGAAAACAGGGAAAACTACTTGGAAGCTACTGGAGACGTCAAGGAAGGAAAAGAAGCTGCTTTGGGAAACCACCACGGTGGGAAGCATGGAGGCCAGTGGAACGACCGGGGCAGGATGC